TGGCAGAGCACTCATCTCTTAGCAAGCCAGTCTTGCCCTGCCTACACTGGTAGCACCTTGTCTGCTCTGTGGGTTTTTTTTTAAATTGCATGTCCTGTGGGCTACAGAATCCTACTGAATGTTGCAAAACAAGATATTCTGTCCAGGAATATGGATTTAGGAAGGGACTGTAGTTAGTGACTTGTGGAAAAAATGAAATAGAGGGTCATGGTGAATGAAAAAAGGAAATAAAAAGGAAAGGACACGACTGTTCCTGGGTATGGTGGAGGAGGAAGTTTATTATAGATATGTAGGAGAGCATAGCCAGAGGCAGGCACATCTGGGAGAGTCCAGATAGTCATGATCTTGAATCATGTGAGAGAGGGGAGGGGAAGGGAGAGAGGAATCAGGTGCACAGTCCAGAAGCCAAAGGTACAAAAAGGGTGGGAAACCAAATGTCTGAATTATATACAGAAGAGCCTCTGGGGGAAGAGCAGCCCAGCCCCTGGGCTGGAGAGTTCAGTATAGAGGACAGGTACTAAGGGTTGCTGGGAGAACCTGCAGTCCAGGTTAGCTTTGATATGCTGAATAGGAACCTCTGGTATTTGCTGCAGGTTTTAAATGTAACACATGGAACACCAGGTATGACGCTATGCAGAGGGTGTTGGTGTGTCAGATAGGACGTTCTCAGGGACAGCATAACCTTCTCTATTGACTGGCTTAGACATTAGGGGCCATTTTCCTCAGCTGGCAAGTAGCTTTTGCTTCAGGCAGTAGGTTGGTAGTCCACTCCTTTAAAAAAGGATTCCCACACCTCTGTGTTTATTTTATGGTAAGATCCATTGTCTGTGGCCACCTTACTATTAGAGGCTAGAATGACAACAGTTGAGATTTTATGCTTCACAGTGAAAGAAGAGCCAAACTTCTGCCAGGGAAGCTTGGGGAGAAAAGCTATGGCTGGCCCTGTTAGGCTTGTTGGTGAGTGGTGAAGAGAAACTTTGTTGCAGTGGCAGAAGCAGCAGCTTCTCCTT